GCACTTGAGGGCACTTAATTCAACAGAACTATTTCAAAGTCAGTGTGTCTTCTCATACATAAACTTTTGGTTCTTTAAAAGCGAAATCTAAGCATGCTTTATTTTTGCAGCCCGGTTGGAACAAGTTGGGAGTTGTTTCGATCAGCCTTGCTCCAAATAAAGTTCAGTTTTCAAACGCTGACAATAATCTGTTATAGTACAGACCAGTCATGTCTTACCGTTCCATATAGTTCAAAACATCTAGAACTGCAGAGCCGTACTTGTTTGTTGATTGTAATTATTTCTTTCTGCGAGTTTACATACGGTAAATAAGTTATTCTCTGTCAAGACACACAAAGTGACTAGTATGAAGATGAATCCACATACCAATTCTAAGAAAATGCTGTTTGAACGCAGGAATTCGCCAAAGGCAATTTCGGGAGCCCTGTCTGGTTGTTTCTGCTTGGGACAAAGCGAGAGAATATTAACATTACACTTGTATTATTTCACTCTAATAACACATCTATTAAGTGCATTGCTTCACATTGTCTGTTGGCAAATTCTGCAAATAACTATTCAACCGAGTGGATTGTGCGCCTGTGAACGCAGGAATTCTCCAAAGGCAATGTCGGAAGCCTTTTCTGGTGGTTTCTGCTTGGGAGAAGGCAAGAGAATATTAACATTACAATTGTCTTCTTTCACTAAGATTTCACATTTATTAAGTACAATCTACGAGTGGATTGTGCGCCTTTGAACGCAGAAATTCGCCTTTGGTTTCTACTTGGGAGAAAGCAAGAGAATATCAACATTAAAATTTTATTCTTTCACTCAGATGTATTAAATACATTGCTTCACAGCTTGTTCATCCCCAAATCCTCCTCAGTTTCTCATTATCCGTCCTTAGATTCAGTCAACACAAAGAGACGTTCATAACTGTAAAACCCCCAACACCTCATCTTCCTCTGCCTTATCAACTTTCTGGATACTCTTTTACAAATTTTTTTAAGCGTTTGGGTATTCATCAGGAGTAAGAACTTGAGGCGACTTAAGGCTGCTTAAGGTACCAGAGTAGGCCTTCTCTTTACAAATCCAAAATAAATTAATACATCACTCCGAATAAACCACCAACTACACAACACCATTGTATCTGTCATGACACACTAACGATCCCTAAGTTGTTGAAAGTGTTTGATCCATCCTTCTTAACCTTCACACTTGCCTTCAATCCTAACGGCTCGTTTACTTTTGAGAGGTATTTGTACACCGAGGTCAAAAAATAAAATGACCTTGGGAGTAACTCTCGCTTGATAGGCAAAGTCCTAGAGAATATCCTTTGATCCATAGAGCCTGTTAGTTCAAATTTATAAGTTCGACTTGTGCAAACATTTGCAATTTCTAACCCAAATGAAAACGTCCCAAAATTCCGTCGCAAGAATAACAGACAGTTTGAATCCAAGTCTTTCACAATTGTGTCCGAACCAAACATTTTGCGAGGAACTCCATTATCAAACAACAAATCTTTCTTAGTGTCATCAGTGTTTTGCTCTATGGCGCATGCACAGAGCTTGATATTCACGGACTTATCTGCACATGAGGCAAACTTGTTGTACATCGTTTGCCGGATAGAACTAAGGAAAGATACTCCTTGCTTTGGTTTGGCATACTGTTTGACAGAGACTCGATAAACTTCATCCTCTGTGAATCCGGCTGGAGGGAACACGTGAATGTCCATCGTGGTCAAGATGTATTCTCCTCGAAATCGTTTGACGACCTTTTCAAATGATTTTCCAACTAAGCGCTGGCAGTTTCCATAGCCATACTTTGAGTCACCACTTCCTGACGAGAGTGAAAAATAAATGAAAATCAAACCAAATTGCATTTTTTTCTTGAATCAGGCATTTCAACTCACTACAATTTCCCTCAGCTCACTTCAACCGCTCTCACCTCACCTACTTTTTACTCAAATAACTTCATCTCATTCAATCTAGCCACGGCTCTCGTCCGGTTACTACATTGATCTTCCCCTTATCTTAGCTCATCCAATCTTTCCTCACCCAACCTAACCTCACTGTATTTGACCAAACTTCTGCCAGTCTAACCCTATCACATCTCACTAACCAACCTCAACCTTGCCTCCCCACCCTCATCTTAACTAATCGTACCCACCCTACCAGTCTAACGACACCAAACCCCACCCCAACACAACTAACCTAACACAACCGAACCCACAGCACTAATCTCTCTCCATTCCTTCATCTTACTTCCCCTCACCCCACCCTGCTTCATCACACCTCACCCATCTCCCTTCATTTCCTTCAATTTGATCAAAATGCATTGTAGCTTGAGTGACAATTTGTTTCAGCAGCAGCATTTTACTTCCACAACCCATTAAATGCAGAGAAAACAGAGGAAAAATTACACAACACATCTTACCGTCCATGTGTTGCTTTTGAATAGCATCATTAATATATCCCACAGCAAATTCTGCCAACCACTTTGTATCGTCTGCATTATCCTTTACAGGAATTGCTTCATCAAAACCTTCACATTTGCATCTTGTTAAGGGAAGCATGTACAAGTCTGCACAAGTGCGATTGGCCGGGATTTCTGAAAATATTCCTGAAACTGAATAATCCTTAGAGTCCTTTTTCTGAGAATCGTGCAAACTCATGAGTGCTTTGTGAACATCGTACAACATAAAGATGCGCTTCTGGTTTGTTACCAAGGATCCCATCCTTTCGGGTCCCAGTTTTTCCTTAACACCATCAGGGACAATCATGAAGAACACTGGATCAAATAACTCTCTCCTTCCCTCTTCAGTGTAACTGAATGGAGTCATTTTGTGACCATGGTCTGAAAAAATCACAGTCAAAGTGTTTGGGAACAAGGCCATATCAATGAAAAACTTTGCCATGCTGGCATCCATGTTGATCATTCGTTTCCCTGTCATCTCATGTCCCGTGTTGAAATGCATGTACGACACCAATGGTTTAGCTTTTCTGTTGTTTTCTAAGGCAGTATACACCTTTCTTATGTAGTCGAAGAAGTACCAACTGTAAAACTGTCCATTAAGACAAATTTTCTGAGGACTGTCATAGTGATTGGTCCTTCCAATTCTGTTCAACACAGTGCAGGAAAAATGCGTGATCCCCAGGAGGTCCACCATCTTTTGTTCCCTCTTCTCCTGAAATTCTTTCCACCTGATTTAAAATAGTTCACACTCAATTATCTCACATCAATTACAATGCAACATTAACGAAATTAAGTGTGAAGTTAGAGTAAATACACAATTTTTCACCGACTTTGTTCTCCTTTACATTTTTGTAATCATTTTGCAGGCCAGAATTTATCACATCCAGTATACTTATAATGGAGTTCTTGTTTGTTGCTCATTAGACTCGAGATTGAAAGTTCAGCAAGGCTGGGTTGTCCAAAGCCGAGTTAAGATAACCGAAGGTTAGTGTGTGATTTCACATCTGAAAGCTTTAAAAGAAAATTCAGTACAATTGTTTTTGTCTACAAATTTATGATTTAATGCTCTAAAAAGAATAGAGGAAGTTATCCCAAAAAGGCTTTTGACCAAAGGAAAAAAAAGATATTCAGATTGAAATTTAACCCTGGGTTAGCCCTAATCTCCTTTCCAGGGTATGGCAATCTTGTGATTTTGGGCAAAATACTTTACTCTCGTATTGTTTTTCTCCTTCATGTAATTTAAATATGTAACCAAAAAACTGTGAAGGAAACCAGCTAGGGCTGAACTATAATGGACTGGGGTCCACCCAAAAAAGGAGGCAATACTCTGTTATGCTTCATGATAAGGACACAGCAACCAGCTTCTGCAGCTTGAGCCACTTGGCTGGTGAGACTAAACCAATGATTTAACCAACAACTCACCTCGTTCGGTATTCAGAATTTGTTTTAGGCATTGCTCTCCTTTCAATATCCGTTAACACACTCCCCCATATATCGTACCAACAAAGGTCCTCTTGAAAGAACGTCTGGTAGCCCCACTTTTTGAAGGCTCCATATAGCACTTCCACACCCAAAGGAGCCTTTGTATTCTTTCCAGATACACTTACTTCATTGTCATCTGATAAGTTTACAATACAATTTAGTAGTAGTAGTTGTCATAGTAGAGGAGGTAGTAGTAGAAATGATAGTAGTAGAGTAGTAGTGGTATGAGAGGTGTTAACCCTTTAACTCCCATGAGTGACCAAGACAGAATTTCTCTTCAGAATATCAATACAGTATCAAGTGATGAGAATAAAGAAAAATATCAGTCAATTTAGGGATTGTTAGTTGATCCAATACCAAATTCTCTGAACTAACATCACAAGAACTGTATCACAGATAGTGAGGAGTATTACTTACAAGATCTTAGGAGTGAAAAGGTTAAATAAAAGCAATTTGTATTAATCCTTGACCAGCTTCAATCAGGTTTCAGACAAGAAACAATACAATGAACATGTGTAGTACTAATCAATAAAAGTTTCTGTTCAAGTGCCTTCTTTAACAAGAATTTTGATTTACCAAAATTTAGTCTGATTAATTTGCAATTACTGTTGAAATCAAATGACTTGTGCCCAGGAGTAACAGTTGATCAATTAGTCTGAGAGTAAAGGGGAAGGCCCTGACAGAGATTCTTAGTTGGTTCTGGAAAAAAAAAAAGAACCCTTTCAAGACAACTGCCTTTCCTAGTCAATCAAGCTTCATGATTGATCAACAACAAGTGTCTTTTGTTACCCATGTTGAAATTCTGCTTGTCTCATTTTACTGTAACTACAATGAGTGGCTAAAGTCTTAGTACACTCTAATACATTTTGAATTCTTTCTGTAACTTGTTTACATGTATCTCCTGTATCTCCCCTTCTCCACCATTTCAATGTTACCTGGGGCTGGTATTCATGTTAAAAAATGGAAACCATCAAGCAACTCTGTTTGGAGGGGGAGGGGAGACTTTCAAGAAACTTTTAAGACAGGAAATACAGGATTTCTGTTCATTATTTTAAATGGAGAGTTGTCAACCACATACTAAGGGGAGGGGTGCCAACTACTTTTGCCACTCACTGAACAATGACCTTGTGGTCACCACGCATTTGATCCCATTTCTGGGTCCTTTTTGCTTGTGGCCAAAGATAAGCCTGAAAACATTTAGAAGCACTCTACAATTATGAACAAGTTTACAACAAAGGAAAAGAATTTTGTTGACGCACCTTTCAGAACACCACAAAAGAATGGTCTTAAGTTTTCAAAAGTTTGTTGACCAATGCTTTGAACAAGTTCAAAGTCCAGGAACATGGCCTTGATTGCAGAATCTTCACTAATCTTCTTCAAAGCCTCTGTGGCTTTTGGCAAAGTTCGATAGAAGTGTGGTCTTGAGATAGAGTCCAACATGATAATATTTACATTAATAGCTCCTCTATCTTCATCATTTTCATTTTTCTGGAAGATAGGAGGAAAACTCAAGGCTTGAAAAATACCTCCACATCTAAGGAACAAGAAATGAAATCCTCTTTCCAAGTTTGTTTTCACTGCCTCCTTTACTTTATAAGTAACTTTTTCCTTTGGTAATGTTTCCCAATCATCTACAGCTTTTCCCATTTCTGGATTCACAGAAGCCATTTGAATCTCTGAAGACCCACACACTTTCACATCACAAGACACATGATGTTCCATTAACTTGATTAACTGGTATGAACAGATCTCTGGGTGATGTGTATCATCACACTTTGGCTCCTTCAACTGTCCTGGGCGTCCATAAAATTTAAGAATTTGTTCCTGGCCACTTTTGTCAGGCCTACAAAAAAATTAGTTTCCAGGTGAGGTTGTGTTGGAAGCCACTGCCTTCATATCAACTAATAAACCCAGCTAGGAAAAAAATTTCCTAATGAACAATTCCACAAACAGTCATGTTACAAGAAAGTTGGAAAACAATTTTTACTATTACCAACAATATATTCTGAAGGTCTGGGATACCTAAAAAAGTAATAACTCCTTATGAATAGCTGAACTGTGGAGGTACCTCAAGTTTTTTATGAAGTTTCAGTTGAACCAAGTTTCTTTGAGAATTCTGAGGATTCGGGGTTCAATTTATGACAATACTTGAGGCTGTTTATGTTTTGTATATTTAGAAATAAAAGAGAAAAAAGGAAATCACAAGACCTTTAAGAAAATGTACTAACATATGTATGAAGCACCCTGGGCCCTAGTTAAATTTTTGGACATGAGAGTGGCTGCTTATTTGAGGCTGGGCCCTTAATAAACTTTCACCATTTTCCACAAGAAGCTAGTTTATTTCACAGCAAAACATTAAATAACAAGAAAAGGTAAAGATTTACCATGATAGAGAGTGAAATTATAGATTGTAAGGCTGTAAAGAAATAGCAATCTTCTTGTGCACATCAGTTTTCTCCAGGGCAGGGGGGGATGAGTGCTTATTCAAGGCTAGGCACTTTCTAAATTATGGTCATTAGCTATTTACAACAACATGTTGTATTTAACAAGTGAACAACAAAATAGAAATGTAAATATTAATTTTGTATTTTAAATCTCTACTATACTGTTCAACCATGAGTACCACAAATATTTCTAGATGGTGATTGTGTTGAGGAAAATAAGCCAGTGGGGTGTGGGAAATAGTAACTGTATGCAATAAAGATGGTTAGTATCTTTGCAGTTTGCATGCAGATCCTGATCTCCCATCTGAAAGGTCACACAACAAAAAATTTATTGTGCATACATGTTAACCATTTGTGTTTCCTGAGCAAACAAGTAGACATATGTACAGCATATAGCCTTACTTGTGAGGTTTGCATTTTGTTACAGTGATAGATGAGGTATTTTTTCCAGAGGTATTTCCATGCTGTGGACTTGTAGTTTCTGAAATAGCAGTAAGTGAAACAAAGATTGGTTATTAGTAAGAATTATTTAGGAGGGTAGCATCACTTCCTTTGTCTGAATGGTAATTGAATGTAATTTTATTATAATGTAAGCAAAAATATGGATAAAAAAGAATTTTTTCATTTTTCTGGTTATTTTTTCTGAACACACCATAACTCATACTTCCAACAACTCCATTCTTTAACTCTTTAACTCCCACAAGTGACCAAGACAGAATTTCAATACAACATCAAGCACACAAGTGATGAGAATTGAGAAAAATATCAGTAAAAGGATTATAGGTTGATCTAACACCAAATTCTCCTAACTAACATCACAAGAACTGTATGGCAGACAGTTACGAGAATTACATGTACTGATGAGATCTTGGGAGTTAAAGGGCTTAATGTAGTTTTCAAAACAAAACAAAATGAAAATCTGTAATTTGTGACATGGAAATATGCTAATGATTTGCAAAATAGAGATCTGTAATTTGTGAAATGGAAATATGTTAATGGTTTGCAAAATAGAAATCTGTAATTTGCAAAATGGAAATCTTTGATTTGTGAAATGAGAATCCCTGTAGAAAAGCCCACAAGCCAGAAGAATGAATTGGCCAGTTCACCATAAGTGTGGATTGCAGCCTGCCAGATAATAATAATAACAACTAGCAAAAGTGAGAAATAAAAAAATCTGCATGAACTTTGGGAAATCTCCACCATGTTTGTGATTAACTCAATGGGTCATTTAGGCCATTAGAGCACATAAGTAATTTGAAATGTTAGTTGACACTGTAGCTGTACTGTCTATAGGGTGTAATCAATGTACATTGCTGATGAATAATTTGAATGCATGACTCAACACCTACCTGACCAGAAATGCACATGGAAAGTGTCGCAGCATGTTTCCAGATAAAATATCATGTTTGCTAGGAAAATGTAACTGCTCTAAGCTCTCTTATTTTCTTGAGTCTCACCCATGTTTATGATCTGAACTGCATGCTAAAACCTCCTGCAGGAATGATATTTGAGTCTTGTTTGTTTTGTTTTTTAACCTAGACACCAGTGACAAAGGTTAGTGTGGTCTTTTGCCCCAGGGAAATTGAAACCTAACAAAAATATACCGAGACTGGATTGGGGTAAATTTTCCTCTGCTGCAAACATTCCATCGGAATGATATTGATGAAAACAGTCAGGGAAACAAACATGTATGAACATCATTCAAGAATTTAATCATTTATGCATTATCCATTGGTTGGAATAAAAATTCCTAACTTTACTGAATGTGAGTTACCATTTTAGATAGTGCAACTTGCCAGCTTTGCCATACAAAAGAATGATACATATATGCCTTATATATTGTTCTATAACTATTTTGCAAATCATTAGCCTATTTCAATTTCACAAATTACAGATTTTCATTTTGTTTCGATTTGTTTTGCAAACTACAGTTAGCCAGTTAAAGAATTCATAATTTATCATGAACTTTCATATCACTGGGAGTCAAGTCTACTAATAATGATGACAACAATAATCATATTGAGTCAGTGAGCAGAGGATGATGATAGCTTTGGAAAAAAATTCATATTTCCTGTAACAGATTATTCCTTCCTTCATCTTTTTTTGGTGCAAGATACAAAAGTTTGAGTTTTTGTTGCTTTCTTTTAAATCACATTCTTTTAATAACATCATAATTTAGTGTAGCACAAATTTGAAAAACATTCATGTCAGTTTTGCTGTGATTGTTTCCTAACTTCTCTCTCCACATGTTTCTTTACTCTGTGATTTGTACCTGAGTGTCCTTCATTGAACTATAGGGGATAGGGTTGATCAAAATATGATGCATCATGGTTGACTGTATCACAAGCTTCTTCTAAATGCTAGGTCCTAATTCACATTTTATATTTGGTCACAAGATTCTTCATGGTCTTACTTAAAAGAGCACCATTCAATACTGGTACTAAATCAGCCATTTTCAACTTCATGCCTATTCCAATAAGCAACAAGGTTGTGACGATAAAGGCAAGAAACTGTAAGCAAAAAAAGGAAATCACCATTAAAAAATTATCTTCTAAAGAAATTCCACTTCTTATATGAAACATGTACAGTTAAGTGACTGTGAATATATTAAAATCATACATTTGAACTGTAGACTAATAAATGAATAAGCAAGTAATCTTGAAACAGTGATGAAGATCACTCTTATATCATTTATCAATTCGCAGTTCGCATAAATTATCTGATTTCACATATTCACAGTCATTTGTTCATCACTTCACAGTTTCATTACAAACCAACACAATGACCAACTCCCTGTTGGCTTGTTAGCTCAGCTGGCAGGGCACTGCATGATATCACAGAGGTCATGTGTTCAACTTGCAGACAGGCCTGAATTTCTTTCAGGTATTATTTTCCCCATTGCTCATTATATATGCATTCATTACTGAGAAGATCACTTACATATTCATGTACAGTTAAGTAATAAAACCATGACTTTCTTGCTTGGCCAGTGAAAGGGAAAAAACAGAAACCAGCTATGTGAGCCAAATGAGGGAAATGTGCTGAAAGAGTGGTTTTGATACAAAAACACATTGTGTCATGCACTTTCTTTTATAACATATCTAGTAAATTTGTCTAATCAAATTCAATTGCACGAGCATGCTTCATATTCTTATTGTGCACACTCTTGACGTCAGCAAACAAATCCCTCGCGAAAAAAAATTTTCCATCCAGTTGAAAATGTTATAAAACAATTGGTTCATACATCAGCTGTGCGTTCATTGAGATATGAAGCACTGGGAAGCTTGGAGAGCACTCAAGAAGCTAGAGTTGCTCTTGGCTATGCCTCAAGCAACTCTTACGCATCTTTTGTGCTCTCCAAACTTTCTGCATGCTTCATATGTTGATGAACGCATGCTGATGTATGAACCAATTGTTGATTGGCAAGACATTTGACTCTCACAATTTCTCTCTCTACCTAAGCAAACTAACTGGGGTGCTGAGGGAATCAGTGCCAACTGTATGACTATATTCCAATAAATAAAATGACTGTAGTTGTAACAAGAAACTCTGTGAGAAAAGAAAACCGAAACTATTACTAAAATGCATGCAGGGCCAAGTTATAAAGCAATCCTCTGCATCTAGCTGAATTCTATAAGGACATGTTTTAATATTCCAAATTTTTAGAGGAAGGTGTTTCTTGACCCCCCTCCAGCCCACTGTAAAACACCACAATCACTGCTTCCTTTGGGAGCCATAACCTCAGAACTTGTTCCTACATTTACCTGCCTGATAGGAATCTGAACACTCCTAAAATGTAACAGGGGTACTCATTTTATGTCATCCCATCTTTTTATTGTATATAGTAAAACAATAGATATTGTTTACAGGTTTGATATCACTAGTCAACCATGGTCATAACTGGTGGCCAATATGGCTTGCCAGTACATGTTTTACCATGAACAACTATAAATGGCAAAAAAAAAGGTTTGAACATGGTTGGCCTTGGCAGTGAAACAAACTGGACCATGATGGATTGTGATAGACCATGGTCAACTACAGTCAAGTTACTCAATCGAAGCATGACAGTTCATTGTCAACCAAGATTTTAACTAAAACTGACCATGTTGAGCATGGTCAAACATTGAATCTCTCTATATGACAAGTCGGGTATTAACAAACCTATTTAAATGGCCTAAAAACCCTGATAGGTTAAATCAAACTATGCATTCCAGGGTTAAAATCACTCTTCATAACAATTTTATTTTGCCTCATAAATCAAGCTGAGCATTCGGTATTTATGTCACTTTGTGATTACATTGAATCCTACAATGCCATAATCAGTGCAGTTCGATTTAGCAAATCATGGCTAAAACATCTACAAACATACAACATACCAGTAAAATTTGATGAGTGTAAGCCTGTTTATTAATTAACCAAGTAGTATACTTAAGCAATTTGGAACTAGATGGTAAAAATTAACTTTTATGAAGCTAATTTATTTGTCAAATTATACATAAACAGGGTTGACCGTTGACAATCCCACAATCACTTAAATTGAATCAAATTCAGTACCTTGTGTTGTGCACTTCCCTCTCATATCTTTTGGATCACTTACATTTTAGCATTGACAACTAAAACTGTTGTCTTAGTTTCTTCCTATGCACTGTTTTGCAAAAATTTCTCAGCAGTTCTTAATTAACGCTTTCACATTTTGAGCGGGTTGAAGCATTGGAATTTTCCGCCTGACATGAAAAAAGCATAAAGAAGAAGAAAATTGGTCCTTGAAGGTCTACTGTATACCTAAGGACTATTTGGGAACAGCTCAAACCCTCAGATGAGTCTTTCGCTACTGACGTTAGTAATTTTGGTGATGCGAATTTTCAACCGAAATGTCAATGTAAATTATCGCCGCCATGACATCGCTTTTTGACTTCCTAAGGAATCGTTTATGTACGTCCGTTCTCCACTACTGTAAGGTAACAAGGCTGAAAAGACTACATCAGCTCTTTAGGTGTATAAATCAAAGTTACTGGCAGGGAAAGTTTACTTAATAAAAGTCTGGTTATAAGAATTCTCGACAAGGTTTCTGCTTCTTCTCTTATGAATTCCCTTCATAATATTTTCAATTAAACATTCTTTCCAGGAAAACTATGATACTTCATTGCCTAATGAAAAGAATTCTCGTTCTTGAGGAAAGAATTCCTGATCTATTGGCAAGAGTTTCTGAAATAGAGATTCGTCTCAAGGTATTCAGATGGAAAGCATTCTTACCAGAATTATCCTCTAGCCATTCAATCTCGTCGCTTGGAGCTTGATTCTTCTTGAAAGAATCGCAATCAAATTATTGTTGTGATAAGAATTTTGGCTCGTAATAAACGAAAATTTCGAATAGGGGAATTGTTCCCTATTGTTTTAATCAACTATCTTCTACACCGATATAAGTAAGAGATAAACAGGCAATAAAAATATAATATAAGACAGATTCTATCCCGTAACAAGTTTACGAAAGCTATGTCAACGATGGGTTGAATCTCTGATGAGTTGGATAAATTAAGGTTCTAACACATTTATCTAAATAACCTGTAGACGAGCGCGGTCCTAAATGAACTTAAACGCTACCCTTAGTGAAGTTAAACGCCATGCAGCCAGAAATTTAATTTTCATGGAAAGGTTCTTTCAAAATTCCTGAAATCATCACTTGTTTTATAAGAATTTATAGCGATTCCGAATGTCATGTGGCTTTCGCACTTCGATCCAAACTTGCCTCTTCTTTCCACGGGTTATAATTTCGAACTGGAGATGTCTAAAGTACTAATACACAAGCTCAAAACGTTCGTTCACCTTAAAACCAAAATAATTTTAGATTCACATGACACTTTTTTAACAATCAGTTGTTGTTGACATTAAGTTTAAATGAGGTCTTCTGTGGGGAATTCGAGGAATATCCGCCTGGCTACCGGCATTCACTCTGAGTTATCGATCAAAACATCCAGCGACTTATGGTAGGCACAAGCCGAGAACTCTTCGTTTAAAGTACGCACAAGTTCAGATATATCAACTAGAAAACAGATATCATTTCTGGGATAGCTTAAGACTTACAAACAAGTATCCAATACTTTCAAAAGACTTGAAAGAACCTTTTCTAAGCATCAAGACCAGTCAAGAGCATACCCGGCTGCCTTGCGTCGTTTGTTTTAAAAGAAAATTTCCAAAAAAACTTACCATCGACTTTCGCTTTCTCGGAATCATTCTGCCAGAAGTTTCAGGAAATTGAGAAAGCCCTGAAAAAGGCTTCTTTTCACCAGTATAATTCTGAAGCACCATTAATTTAAAGAAAGAAAACACCTTAGCACCTTCCCCGATTGCAATTACATGCTCGTAACTGACAAGCACTGGAAGAGTCGCAAGCTATGATGTGGGTACGATTACATTTGCGTTACTTTGCTCTGTGATTGGTCAACATAAAACGCCTTCCCTTCTCCCAATGTATGGAAAACAAAAACTGTATAAAGAAAATGAGTAGTAACCTCTGGTTACGCTTCTCAGTACTAATTTTAACTTCTCATTGGCTAGTGCTGATGTTGGAGTTTGTTAA